ACGAGGAGTAGGAGGAGGAAGGAGAAAACAAAGAGGAGAGGAGGAGAAGAGGAGGAGGAGGAGGAAGAGGAGGAGGATGGCGAGGAGGAGGAGGAGGAGGAAGATGGCGAGGAGGAGGAGGAGGAGGTTGGCGAGGAGGAGGAGGAGGAGGTGGAGGAGGAGGAGGAGGATGGCGAGAAGGAGGATAGGTTTTTTTCTTTTTTTTTAATCAATCAATCAATCAATCAATCAATCCATCAATCAATCAAGAAAAAAAATACGAAAAGAACGAACAAAAAAATCCAATCGATTCATTGGATTCGATTGGATCTTGATATTGGATCATTATCAAGAACCAATCGAATCCACTGATTCGATTGGATTTTTTTTTCGTTATTTTCGTTTTTTGAACTGTCTCGTTCTTTTCGTTTTTGATTGATTGATTGATTGACAATCAGACTTGCACTCTCACTCTGCGCTCACACACACACACGTTGCGCGCTATCTATAACTATGGCGGGGTACTGCCACTACCACTAGTCATGGCTACTTCTGCCCACTTCGATTTCGGGCCATTTGGATACCTATTCGACTTCGACTTCGACTTTTTTTTATATCAGTCAATCAATCAATCAATCAATCAAATCAACCGATCAATCAAAGCGATTGATTTGATTGATTGATTGATTGATTGATTGATTGATTGATTGAAGAGGAGGAGGAGGAGAAGAGGAACACAGCGAGGAGTAGGAGGAGGAAGGAGAAAACGAAGAGGCTGTCTCTTATACACATCTAGATGTGTATAAGAGACAGTTACTCTACTATACAGAGGGAGGAGAAGGGTAGGAGGAAAAGGAAGAGGAAGAGGAGGAGGAGGAGGAGGAGGAGGACGACGAGGAGGAGGAGGAGGAGGACGAAAAAGAGGGAGGAGAAGGGTAGGAGGAAGAGGGGGAGAAAGAAGACGACGAAGAGGAGGGAGGAGAAGAGGAGGAGGATGGCGAGAAGGAGGATAGTTTTTTTTTTTTTTTTTTTTAATCAATCAATCAATCAATCAATCAATCAATCAATCAATCAAGAAAAAAAAAAAGAGAAGAACGAAAAAAAAAATATAATCGAATCACTGGATTCGATTGGATCTTGATACTGAATCAATATCAAGATCCAATCGATTCCACTGATTCGATTGGATTTTTTTTTGGTTCTTTTCGTTTTTTGAACTTTTTCGTTCTTTTTGCTTTTGATTGATTGATTGATTGATTGATTGATTGATTGATTGATTGACAATCAGACTTGCACTCTCACTCTGCGCCCACACTCACATACACGCTGCGCGCTATCTACAACTATGGCGGGG